GAACGCCACGGGGAGGTACGCGGCGTGGCCGCGGGATGGCACCGTCCCTTGGGTTTGCGTAGGCGATACGAAGGACAGCCTGCAGGTTTGTCATCGCTCACTTCTGGCAGGTTTGAAGCAGGTGGGGAAAAAAGCTTCGACACATCTTTTTTCCTCCTCAAAGAGGAAGAGTGTATTTCTACTACAAATTTAAAAAATAAGAATCTTGTCATTTTTTTATTCTACTAAAAGTAAACTTGAGAAAAATCTATGGCTCTGTCTTATTTCGGGCATTGACCTGCCCTGGGAATGAAAGAGCAGAGCAGAGAACCCCAACCACCTTCCCTATGTAGAAGTCAAAAACGTTCACCCCAGACAAACCAGGATGTACTAAAAAATTACTGGTGCAGAATGAGACACAGGTACTTAACAGTCAAGGACAGAGCTGTGACCCACCGAAAACAAAAGCCTTTGCCACAGCACGCACCTGAAGAAAGGGGTTTGGGGGAAACTCACACCAGCAAGGGTGATGCTGAAGGCCTGAAGAAATGCAAATGAGCAGCAACAGCAGAGAAGGAATTGCTTTTAGAAAGAGCATTACTGGGGAGTTTTGTACTGCCCCATCTTTGTTTCTTACTGGCTTTTTTTAACTTCACTGGTATCTTCCCAGCTCTCCCACACGACCTGCTCTTCCTCAATTTCTTAGTCCTGCTTTCATGGTTATCTAAAGGAGAGAACCATTTCCGAAACCCCAGGAGAGAGGAACTGCTTCCCAGGCGTATCTCCTCATGAACTACACCTTCAGAACGCCAGCGTCTCTTCCTCTCCTACCCTACCACCATAAATACAGTTTTACATGCAGTGACAGATAATCCCTTCCAGGATGTGGAACGCATGGGGTTAGAAGTCACCTGCAAGAAACACCTCATCTCCTGTAAACTGTGTTACATCTGCAGATCAATTTTAGGATGAGGTGCTCTATTTCTAGAATATGCTTGTCAAAAAAGATCCGCATCAATGTAATCATCAAAATACAAGAAAAATAGTATTTTGGCCTGGATTTGTAACTCTTTTTGTCCAGGAAACAATTATCATGCTAAATTCCAACTTAGGGGAGGAGAAGGAAGGGTACCGTGATGTATTTCCACTATGGGAAGAGCAAGATTTACAAAAGGATATAAACCGTGCCTTTTGGTAAGAGATATTAATCCGTAACGATGCTGACTTCTAAAATGGTACCGGTATGGGGAACTGACTAAAATCGCTCCTGTGCTGGACACGTAGGAGCTGGGCGAACATGCAAGAAGATTCCCTCTTTCTGATGCATGCCAAGTATGTTAAGGTAACCTGTAAACACACATTTCTCTTCCACGTATGTGTCAAAGGCAGCTACACTATGTTTGCTCTGTAAATTCAAGTGCTGCTTTATTTACTTATTTTACTTCCATTTTACTTATTTAGAACAATTTCCATATGGTGACATGCCTTTAATGACACTCATGACTCAGAAATACTTATAGATGTAGTCAAACAATGTCTACTGACATGAGTCACTGAAGTTAAATAAACGTTATTAAAAATGAGACAAACAAAAGGCAAATATATATATATCCAGCAGAATGATAGGGATCATCACCATTTGATCAATCTTCCCTGTGAGTTTTATCTGCAAGTTACTCTGAGGTAGCGCTAGAAAGAAGCTGTTGGTCCAAGAGCATCCCTGCAAAAAGAAACATTGACGGCTTAAGTACCATTTAACCTTTTTGTACCCTTTTCAGTACTCTTTACCCTTTTCGGCCTGTTTCTTTCTCCCTGTTCACTGACTGCAGGATTAGTAGCCCCTCAAACCACCATAGGAAAGCTGTTCAGAGAAGTGACAGAAAACAAAAACACTGCTGCTCTTGAAGAAATTAGTGGGTTTTGAGTAAAGGCACTATCTATTGCAACTAGGTGCAACGAAGAGTTTATAAAACCAATACTAGATATTCTTGAAAAAAAAAAAAACAACTTCATCAAGCTTAAAAAAAGCTGGATAAAACAGACAAAACACAACTGTAAGAAGTGAGATAGCATGATGTTGAAAAACCTGCTTCTAAGACTTTTTTTTTTTTTAATGCTCCCACTGCAATCAGATCTTTGCAGAACTGATGGCAGGCACCTGTACGATGTGTTCAGTCTTTGCTAATGCAGGCAGGCAGGTGTAAAACAGCTGTAAGTGTACTCACTAAAAAGTCTCAACAATGCATTCTGACAGTTCCAATGCACTCACTTTTCCCTGTATTTGGGGTTCATGGGCAACACACCAATAGAGGAAGAAATTTTGCATTCAGTATGCCCTTACAGTAAAGAACGTGCACAGCACACACAATCTTGATCCCACATATACACTCCTAATGGAAAGAGGAATAGGCTAGTAAGGCTCAGCAGACAGAAAAAGAGGTCAGAGAGCTATTTTAGAACAGTATCGCATGGGCTGCAACCAACAGACTCTTCCTCACCTCATTTTTCTTGTATGTTGACTGGAAGAAAACACAGCCCCAACATTTCTCAGGTTTGGAGAACTAACAGCCCAAACAACCTCTTTAACTACATTACAGAAATGGTATTTTCACAATATGGGTAATTTGCAGCCCAGTACAGAAGGTGCATGCATGTCTGAAAACAGTCTCTGATGCAGAGTGTAGAGACCTTGTTAACAAGTAGAATCTGCATAAACAGGGTGGCTACAGGCTGTGACTTTTTTTGAGGTTTACGTACTGTGGTGATACAGTGTCAGACTAAGTGAAATCACAGAGCTACGTGGGCCCCTCGTTACCTAGTCACCCATAGATCAACCTCCCAAATGCCAAAAATCAGCACAGATACTGCATCGCACTTCTGCTGAGCCAACACGCATCCTTAGCATTGCTTTTTTTAACTGATAAGGCAGTAAGAGGTTTCCACAAATTACTTGCTGCGACTTAAGTACAGTGTCAGGTGATGCTATGCAAACCACTTCAAAGTGGGATATAACTCAGGCACAGACTGGAAACTGTCTTGCTGCTCATGGTGAGGGTGCTTGCTAGAAACAAAATCCTTTGCTTTGCAGACCAGTTTGTACTGCCAAGCTCAAGCACCACAGCTATGGAACTGAAGTGGCATCAAATCCTGTATGGTTTTGAAGCTTTAACATTCCCATCCAAATTCAGGGGGCTTGCATCTGTCTTGAGTTTCCTCCCTACTGCACTCCCCTAAAGCAATTTATGTATGCACACAAGCACTGCCTTTCCCACCCAGATCCTCTTTGCTTCACTTACTCCACTTTGTCACATTCTTGTTAATAAACTCCCTACCATCACCCCCCAAAGACTCACCAGTTCACACAAGTGAAACATTCACCCAAAAAATCCCAAGTTTCCAGCTACCTTGCAACTAGCTCTCCCCAAAGCAGGGAAAACAGTTGCTAAAACTGTGATGCTACTCCCCCTGCATAAATGAAGTGTTTTGCTTTCTGTCTCTTCCTACATGTACATCTGTACTACAGGAAGAATGAACTTTCTATAGTACTCCAAAAGCCTTTTCTGTTTTAGAACATGTGCATTTCATGGGCAGGATTTTGAAAATATTCCTAGCTCAAGTTAAATTGTGAAGAGAAAAGAAGGAGATCCTGGCCAGCAACTAGAAATGACCTGCCCGTACCAAATCACTCTGCAATACAGCATTTGTTTTAAATTTGAGAACATCATATAGGTTATGACCACCACTTTAATTACATTAAGTTATAAAAAAAAAGCCCGAGAACTTTATTCCTATCTGCCATCATAGCAATTATGCTTTAGATTGTGCCCAAAACACATGGCAGTACAAAAGCGTCTTGACTAGCTTTAGTATCTTTCACAGCTATTAGCTATGATAATTTCTGCTACCTTTTTTCTTAGAATACTGTTCTTCCGTTTCCAGTCTAACTTATTTTATCATTATGTACATTAAGTAGTAAATACTTCTGCATACACATGGGCTTAAGTAGTCCCTATGACTGGAAAATACTTTATACCCTTCCAGACGAGAACAGTTTAGAGGAAGCCACTCAGAAGTTGCTAGCTTAAAGCAGAACTTTCCTCATTGCTATCTCCCCTCATCTCCTTTGACTTGAATACTGAAAACTGCCATCCTACTAAGATTTTATAACCTCATCACTATAAAACACTCAAGCATGAAGACTGAACAAATTGCACAGGTGTTTAGGATAGGGCACAACTTTGTTGAAGAGTTGTTAGTAGGATAGTTTTATTCTCGATGGGTTATTTTTCCTCCTTTAAAACAGAAAGCTATTTTCTCCAAGATTTTTAGGTTTAAAAAACACATTATGTTACACCAGTTTCTCTGTTTTAAAGCGTCAGTTGAGAAGACTTAACAATAAGAAGGGCAGGAATAAAACTGTCAGTAGGGATCATCCTTAGGTTTCTGGAACATTTGCAGCTATGCCAGCTGAAAGTTCGCCCTTCTGTATGTTTAAAATACTGTCTTGATAAAGCAATTCTAACTGACCTGGCAGATCAACAGTAGTAAAAGAGCGGGCCCAAGTGTTCCCACAGCAAATCCTGTGAGTGTCTTCCAAATACACACAAAATCTAAGCAAGCATGTTAAAAGCTTGTAAAAGATCGCCTAGGTAACTTGGAAATACACGACAGCTATTTTTTGCTAGCGTCCTGATGCCCATACCAAAGACAGGTGAAATACCCCTACTGCCTCCAGCTAAATTCCACAAGCCAGAAGAGAATGTGCTTCACATATGTAAGTAAAATCCCTTGCTGGCAGGTTTGCAGAAACAAAATTTTATTTACACAGGCAAGTCTATCTTTAGACCCCATCGAACTCTTTACATTTCTAGAATATTTACATGATTTCAAGATGCTCTGAGTGATGAACAAAAAAAATTACAGAAACTGTCAAAAGCATAGCAAAAAAACCCAACCTATCATTGTGCTTTAAAACTTATGATCTAGAGTAATGTAGAAGAAATGTAATTTTAGCACCTTGGTCATAACGGTCATGCTATATAAGACACTTAAATAGCAGGGGGGATGTCAGAAGTGACCGTATCCAGAGGTTGCCAGTGACAATTCATGAGGGAATCATAGAGTTCTTCACTTGTCTCCATAAATTGTCTGTTCATTTCATCAACATCCAAGTAAAGCTGTGGATCTGAAAATAAAAGCCTGGTAAGTCCAAGTGTCAGATCGTGGGAGCCATGCACACAAACACCTGAAGTAAGTGCCTAATAAAACGTCTTTTAGCTAAATTTCATTATTAACAGATTTAATAGTAAATGTAATAAGATGTTTATTCACCTAGAATTTTAACAAACCTCACAAGTCCAGCTTCTTTTGGAATTTGTGTATTAGAATGCTAGGACTACATTGGTATTTCAAGATAAAGAGCAGATTTAAGGATAATTAACTGTGAAACTCCCAAAATCCACTTAGTTCACTTCTATTACATTATGTGTTAGGCAGGACCAAGTTTCTGAACAGTAACACAGGATGTCTCTATGTGAGGAACTATCTGCAAACCTTCTAGGCCAAACAATTACATTTTGTACCAAATCTTTAAGTGCAAGATGAATCCTCCTTTTAGGACCCGCAACATAAGCTTTTACCTCAGGGTTTGGAAAACCAACTCATTAATAGGCAAAAGCCCTAACATTGAACTGCTTAGCAGGATCCATACGAAGATATGACAAATTCTGTTATTAGATCCTCTTGGAAAGAAAATGAAGGCAAAATTACAAGAAACCTACTGTGAAGTGCTGCTGACAATGTCCCATTCTACTTGACATGGTGTACACTATCAGCTTTAAAATCCTACCTCATCTCAGCTATAACCCAGAGGATCCCACTACATCAGCTGAATTTCCAAAGACATTCTTCATCCAATAGCCATTAGCTTGGGCTAAAGGGCACAAGTATGGCTAAATTCAAGTTGCAGTGACAGAATCATTACCTTCAGTTATTAGGTCATCACTGATTTCAGTCATAGCTGAAGTTTCCTTTAAAAAAAAAAAATCACTTAAATTTAATCTTTTGAAAGCATCACAAATCCAGAATAATTTTGTACTCCCAAACCATTCCCTCCTCACAACTACAAGAATAGGCAGGAGGGGTTGTGTTTGTTGGGAGCATTGGGGTTTTTTGGGGGTTTTTTGTTTGTTTGGTGGTTTGTTTGGGGGTTTTTGTTGTTGTTTTAAGAAAACCACAGTATAGTTCAGATTGGAAGGGACTTCTGGAAGTCGTAATTGATAAATTGGCTGACCTAAGATAAGACCATCGTCCAGTAATTTTTTTAGTTTCCTTTAAGCAAAGTACATCAGAAAAACAGGGAGAAAGGAAGCCTATACAATTACGCTGTCAGAACTGTTATTTGGCATACATGAACAAATAATGGTGTATAAATCTCCAGTTTATCTTTACCTCAAAAACAGCTGGAGCCATAACAGCATCTCCTAAAGAGCAGTCTCCAACAGCTTGCATGCTATCATAGGGAGTATAGGAGCTGTAGTTGTAGTCAGCATAAGGATCATAACCCCACTGTGAGTAGTAGTTCTGATAATCTTGGTAATAATCATTATAGTTGTACGACTGGTACCGCTGGAACTCTGCTTTCAGTCTGAAACATGAGAAGTTATATACAGTTAAGAGTTTGAGAACAATAACTGTAAACCCAGTTCTGAAGTTAAACAATTTGCCAGCTTACACATTTCAAAGTTTAAAAGGAAGCTCTTCTGAATAGTTGCCTAAGCAACAGTTTAAGTCACAGCACAAGATCTCATGTTTATACAGAAGCAAATGCTCTCACCTTCGCCAATACAGTAATTATTTTCATGGACTAACTTGAGCCATGACACTTATCTGTATTAATTTTGAGTATTTTTAGTATCCGTATAAGCAAGCTGCTCAAAAACTAATTTAAGAACAGAGACATTTATCAAGCACAGCTGTTTTAAAGATGCATTCAGCCTTAATTAGCCCTTCTATCTTTTTGTTTGGTTAATACTAAATCTTACAAATTCCAGAAACAATGGGGTGAAGTCAGATTGTGTTTCAGAGGAGCACCTGACACTGCCCGCCAGTTTGCCATGTCTACCTCCACCTGCTCCATCTTCAGTCCATGAAGAGCTGCCAAAGTGTAGCTGTCAGGTGAAGTTAGCACTGCTATTATCCGGTACAAAGCCAAAGCAGCAGGAGAATGACAAAACTCATTGGTTCTTAAGACCAAAGGGCCAGCTGATCAGTTTTCATTACCTTCCCTCTCCTGAGTAGATTTTCTCAGGGACAACTTCACACAAATGACAAGAATGAATGCACCACCATTGCAGTGTACCTCTGTTTTAGTACAGACATGAAATACATGCAGATAACCCAGCTGCACATTCAAAAAAATCCTCTATGCTTTCTTTGATTACGAACAGGCAGACCTCCTGTATTTGCAGAGCCCAATTTCTCTGCATCTCCACTTCATTACAGGAAAGCCAGATCTAGGCTTTTTGTCAAGAACACAAACTGAAGGAGCTCAGAAATAGTTTCCAATATAAGTGACTTAGTGACAAACTACTTCGATGGCCAGGTATTTTGATGCTAGGGGAGCACAGTACTCAGCCATTGAGAAACAGATATAGATTAGTGATGAGTATTTTAATACCTACATTGTATTAGTTTCATTACTGTAAAGCTACACATATATTCTAATAAATACGTATTTTATTGTCTTGCTACTGTTGTAAACAAATGACTACATAATGTCTCAAAGTCTTCTGCTTCCAACTTCTCTCCTACATATATCTCTGTAGGAAAGAAAAATCTGAAAATACTGCTGACATTCTTCTGGACAGCAGAAGCGAGGAAACCTGTTTCTTTGCAACCTCTTCTTGTTTTCAAAATAATTTAGTCAGTAGTTTCGGACAGTGCTCTCTTGGGTAAGAGCATTTCCATTCTAAATCAAAGAGGCAACATTTGCAGAATTATCCAGGGTAAAGAGAAACAAAAGCTGTTATTTTTACTATTTAAGAGAACATAAAAGCTAAACTCATGAATATATTGAAATTGTTTATATAAAAGTTCTACTTTTATCTGTATCCTGTATCAAAGTTTATTGAATTTATATCAATTCTCTGTTCAGAGACTTGAATTGCCTTAAATAACTGACAGAGAACTGAGCTGGCAGAGTAAAAAACACTCTCAAAACCAACCAATTTTGAATTCCCTGCAGCCCCAATCACTTGAAGAGCAAAGAATAGTATTCTGAACAAGCTATCCCAGCAACATCTCCTTTGGCTTCTTCCCCCCCTACAGTCTGTATTTTTCTACTTAAGAGTTCAGTTCCTTCCTCTGCCAGCCTACTGTAGAACTAGCTACATGCTACCTTGCGTAAACTAGAGGGAAAGGTCTAGAAGAGCTCCCTAGCATACAAATCCACCTGTCATCCCTTCTACCTTCTTCAGGCCCAAACCTGGAAAATGTTTATGAATGCATTCAGCTTTGCTACTATAAGAGTTAAGGCTAGTTAAAACAGCAGCTAAGCCCAAGTTACACAATCTGGCTAGACTTAAGAATTGGATTCCCCCAGCAATCCTGAAAGAGGTCAATGAATCCAGGGAGTCAAAACATAATGCTTCTGTATTTCTGGTTTTGTAGACTGCATCATGCATACAGCCATTACAGCAAGGGCCACAGACTTTACAAAAGGCAGAGCTACAAGAATCTGATTATTTAGAATTACTGTATTAATGCACAACTCATTTGTTACCTTTTAGAAATTCCTATGCTCAGCCGGATTCGTTTTCCCCCCAGACCTGGTGCATTCTGGCAGTCTTGCAGTGCCCTCATCTGATCACCTTGCTCACCAAATCTGACAAAGGCATACCCTCTACAATTTTCAAAAGGGAGAAAACAAATTCTAGTATGCATTAACAGTTACAAAGCTAATTAATTCCATTTCTGTCTTCTACAAAAACAGAAGATAGTAGCTACTATAGCTTCTATTATCTAAGTAACCTCTCTGGCACATGCACAGAAGAGGCTCTCAAATTAAAAACTTGGGCCAAAAGCAAAAACTTGTTCTTTGATAGCATTAGGATGCAACTTGCTGAGAGCCAGCAAAACAATACATTTTAATTGCTATCCGTGCAAGTTACCAGATTCCATATTTCTGCATTTATAGCAGTTAATTTATCAGTTAGTGTTAACGTCCTCCTATCACTGTACAGCACTAACATTTTTAAACTTGCTTTCTGTTAAGTTTCTTGAATGAGTATTACAGCCAGCATTGTCTGAACAGTTTTTTTTTTGGCTGACCGCCTGGCCAGTGTAACTTCTGCTACACTTTATTTACTAATATTAATAGGTTCAGTCTCCCAACCCCCAAAGATTTGCCAGGCCTTATGTTCTTCTCCCACATGTAAAAAGGGAATTATTTTTTTCTTCAGTACTGCAGACAACTAAGTGGAGACATGCTGCTGTATGTAAGCACAGCAGCAAAGATTTCAGCGCACAGCTCTCCCTCCTCCCGCCATCTAATTTCTTTCATGTAGATAAGCTTCAATTTAGCCATGTCCATATCACATTAACTGCTTACACTAACCAGGAAGTTTTAGAATCGCAAGGATCCGCGCTATTAAAAAAAGTAACGCTAGAGACTAATCTCTCTTCCTGCCTCTGAAGAATGCAGAAACAGTTCCGATGCCAAGTTCTACATTACTTATAGAAGCAAACATACTGACAGCATTACAAATTTTCACAGCCATTACCTGGAATATCCCAGCAGGTCTGTTGCTATTTTGCAGTCAATGCATGAGGGGTACCTCTTCAGGAAATAGTCATAGAGCTGGAAATCATCCACTTCTGGAGTAAGCTCCCCAACAAATATCGAATAATCCGGTCTTTAAAAAAAAATAGAAGAGAACAATTGTCAAGTTTGAGACTAAGGTAGCCGATTGCAGTATTAGAGATACCAAACACATAAGCAGGTAGCTGTCACTGGACAAATAAGAGGACAAAATCTGAAGAGAGTTAACTGCAAAACTCTGCTGAGTAACGTACACAACTACTATGCCATCACTTCAGCATAAAGGTCTCAATTTTTCTGGGTCCATTCTACTGCTTTCACAAAAAAAGGCATTTCAACAAAGACCCGTTTTATTAAAAAAAAAAGACACACATTTAGAAGTTGGTTTTCAAATAAATACTTATTGTCTGAAGGGGGGGGAGGGAAGGACGCACAAAAATACAAAGAAAAACTATGAACTCAAGTTACAGCCATAATTCAAGAGAGGTATGGCTATTCTGCCACTACTTCTCAATGATTATGGGAGAGAGAAACTATAAAACACCTTCATTATTCTATTGGCAATACGTTTCCATAATCAATGCTTGGAGTATAGGCACCAGATGTGCCATGTCAGGATTTTAAGAGTAAGTGATGGCATTCACTGATCGCTATCAACCTGAAGAGATAAGGGGTCAGAGCTCCTCCTTTCAAAAGGTCTTTACCTGGCTGAACTACTACTAGGGACAAACTCTATTCTTCCCGGTTTTATTTTGTTCTTTTTCTTCCGCTTCTTCTGCGGTGTTCTCCACCAGCTGTAGGCCTGGAGACATTCTCTTTTTTTCGCCATTAAGTCCTGTTGGGAGAAAAAAAATCACCTTTATAGTATTTAGCCTCATTTACATTCCTCCCTCCCACTCCCCATCACCACAGGTGATTTCCCCATATTCACCTTGCCCTTGAAAGAAGCCTGGGGTCCCATTTCTCCCTCCGCCTCCCATGAGGGAAAGCAGCCTCTGGGGAAAACGCCTGGCAAAAATAACAGAGCCAAAGGATTGTATGAACAGCCATATTCCCCTGACTTGTCAAGCTGGCTAAAGGATTGACAGCTTCCTCTTGGAATTAGGGAAAAAGCAGGCAGCCCTTCGATGTTGGTCAATCCTAAGTGTTATTTAGCTTCAGGACTGGACTGTGTTCCACAAGCTCCAGGACTCAAAAAAAAAAACCCTGCAGCAGCACAGTGAGTGATAAAGAGGCAGGGAAGTCATCACTCTTGCCTAGAAGGGATCTCGGCTGTCCCTATCTCCCCTCACCTAGGATTTCTTTTTCTTCTCTTATGTGAGATGTCTCTCCTCACTACCCAGCTGTGAGTCACTCTCCCAGGCCAGGAACAATGACAGGAGGCCAATTAATGGCATGTTAAGGAGAAAGCAGACCAGGAACAGGCACTAGCTTGGCTGAGGGAAAACTCAAACCCAGACGCAAGGCCAGGAAGGAAGAGGCATAAAAAGTGCCTCTTGGGAAAAAAAGAAAGGAAAGAAAACCCCAAAACCCCAAAACCACAGTTTAAAAAGGAAGTGGGGCAATTACACAAAAGAGGAGGGAAACAACAGCTGTATTAACACAGGTTGCCTCCCTCGCTTCAGATTCTCAAGAACAAGGACTTTCAAAAATAAGAATGGTGTTTTGCAGCATTTTTTACTTACGCAGGCTTTAACGTTCTTCCTCTAGAACACCTCTACATATATCTTATATAGAGAGTGTTATGCGCAAGGTCCTTCAGAAGAACTCATGCTCAAATAACCCAAACTGCAAAACTTAATATTCTGCCCCCAACCTGCTTCAGTTGATACGATTAAGTGTCCAGGGGACAGCCACCAATTACCACATTACCGGAAGAAACCGTAGGACTAAAAGAACACCCAACTCAGAGCAAGCTAGCTATTTCAGCTTTACATTTACTAGGAATTCTGAGTATGGTTCTGGAATCCATTTAGGCACTGCAAGCCTGAATTTCTGACCAAATGATCTTACCTGGCTTGCCATGGTTCAAACTGTCTTCTGCCTTTCTCAAAGAATACGGCTGCACAGGTTCAGTTTATTGCACTTCTTCAGCTGAAAAAGATGTAGGGGAGGAACAAGAAGATAAAGAATCTTAACCGTGAGATGAATTACCTTCAAAGATGTTCACCCCACCTTACATTTTTTAACGTTACTAATTCAGAACTTAGAAATTTAAGTTCTGATTTGTCACTGCTAAAGCAATGGAGATAAAAAGGATATACAGCCAATGGATTATGATTAGAAGTCATCTTGACTTTCTTAAATTGTCATAGTCCACAAAGTTTTGCCAGTGTCCAAAGCACTAGAAAATTAGAGAGCTTTAAAGTCACCTATACCTTACCCTTATTTCCAAAATACCTACATATAATAACACAGAAGTTCCATGTTCTAAAATAGTTAAAAATAAGGCAACAAAGACAGAGGCTTCCATGTGGTTTGTGTGACCCCTCAGTTTTTTCCCCCTTTTAGCCAAATAAAAAGTTGATTTACTTGTACAACAAATTGCACAGCTGAAAACAAGCAGTGGTATTTCCTCTATGCTAAAGAACAAGAGAAATAAAACACGGACGAGAGCACAGTACAGGTAAATGTGATCTTTCTCTGCACCTTTCCTTAGGTATGTCTTCTCTCTTTTCGCTCTTCCATATACACATTTCACTCACTACCAGGGAGTTAGCAACAACAAATGACCTTTTACTGCTATCACTAAATCAGTGGATAGACTTTCCTGCAGAGGTATGTACATCTTTGTTGAGTCTGATATCCTTTAAGCTTTTTCCCCCCTAGTCATCGAACCAATATAAATCAGTGCAGAAAGGCTTCATTTGCAAAATATTTTGCATCTACTTCCACACACAGCTATCCATTCACCACTGCTGATGGTTTTTTACATCCAGTGTTGCTCCTTCCATGCAGATACTTGATCGCTGAAGTTTTAATTCCCATTTCCATGCAAGAATTTATGTAACGTTTTACATACCAGCTAGTCAAATCCACATTCACATAATAGAATATACACGGAGTGTTTGTAACGCCTTAAAGGCTCACCCACACAGGGAAACAGTTCAGAGCACTACTTCTGAAAATGGATTAGGCTACCCTGACACAGGATAGCCATCTACCATAATTAGAGCATCCACGCATGGTGTTATTCAGAATAACTATGCACTTCATCCCCATACCCATTCTGAAGCCAGGGAAATAGTCAAGTACAAACAGGCCCTTAAATACAGACACATACTAGTAAGGTTAGCATATGCTCTCTTACTAAACCTAACTGTGCTCACCATGAAGAGCTATCAGCAGCAGCTTCTTCCTGTTAAAAAAGGTCATTATTAATAAAAATATCCACAGTGATGTTCCTCTAATTCAAGTACTACTTTTTAATAAAAGGAACTACAAACTCCTCCATGCTCTAAACAGTGAAATGCTAACTCTGGAATTCACAACTGCATATAATTTTTTTTTCCTAAACTTACCGCTCTTTATTTGTGTGGATTTAGCAGAAGATGGCACACACCACAAAGCGGTTTTATTGCAAAAGACTATGAGAAGGCAAGTGATGCAACTGTTTCTTGAACACAGTTATCACAGACTTTCATGCAAAACCGCGTTTCTGTACTCTTTCTCCGTCTGATCTTGACTGCCGCCTCTTGATCTTTTCACTAGAAAACAAAAATATTTAAAAATCAGCTAAAACAGCATGTATTAATATCGTATTTTTCACAATTGCCTTAACCGCAGCTACAAGTAAGCAGCGGGGCAGCTTTAACCTCCACAATTCAAGCACCTTCTTAATTGGATTACACACGCACTTTTTGCCAGCCCATTTACTCCACGTTTTTGTTACGACGTCCGCACCGCCAAAAAGGTGGATGAAGCTATTAACGAACAACAACCGCCTTGGCAAACACCCCTCACCCGAGCTCGGAGATCCAGCCACCCCCTTCTGCGTTAATCTCGCTCGCCTGAGGAGCTGGGCCGGGG